GAAGATCCATGAGCATATGATGTTACCTGAAAGTATATGCCAGATATTAGTTAGAAGGTGAGCTACTAATTCAGAAATAATAGCTGAAATTCATTTTTTAAACATCGGTAATTCTATGCTGTTTTTAACTCTAAAATTGGGGTTTTGTATTTATTTTATCATGATGTTTTCTATCATATACTTGTACAACTGCCTACTGATTCTCCCACATTGAAAGATGGACGAGACATCTTTTCCACTCTTTTGCCAAATAATAAGATTGTAAATACTAAAATTTGGTCTATCAGCACCATTTCTCTATAAATCCAAGACGACTTACAAAATAAACTTGCAGGTCCCATCAGGACGTAGGCTAAAGACTCAAAATCTATATCAATGGCATCATGGCATGTCAATATTATTGCTAATATCTAATCTAAGAGCTTAATAGAGTGAACAAACCTCAATTCTTGATACCACCCCTTTAGACACTGATATGGTTTCCCCTCCAAGTGGATAACCTACAACAGTTACCGAATCCTGCAAGTTTAAGGGGGAAAGAAGGCAACATGTGTGAGAACTTCATGTTTAATTAATATCATATTAAATTAGAAATGTATGATGCCATTTACTGAATGTGTGTATCTTCTGCAAGTGTTAATTATGTAAGTGCAATAAGTAGGCAACAAACTCAACATGAGATAAGCATCTGCAGGCACAAAATGGAACAAAAAGGTATAACTTGGCACAAAATAAAATGACAACACAAATGCACATATTTTAAACCAGTTCCAAAAAAAAAAAAAAAAAAAAAACCGAACCTGCAAAGTTGGCAAGCTTCCTAGTTGAAGAGGCTCAGCTCCTTTCCAAAATTCCTCACTCTCAACAGAAAGCAGAGCTATATCACATTCTACACCTCTTGCTAGGACCTAAACCAAGTACGAGAGTCAGTATAGTAAAAGAAGATAACAGTGGGTAAATGTATATCATAGAAGGCAACCTTGGCAACATATTTTGTATCGTCCCCTCTTCTTTTAACTTTGACCTGTAATATGATAAACATTAAACATCAAATAATTGAAGCATACCCGTACAGCACATAAGGACATGAAATTGTGAGGAGGCTTGGATAGATTTTGTATCCTTGACTAACTATCTATTAGCTTAAGTTAAGTAGAATGGAGAACAATACAAAAATAATATTAGCTAACAATAAATATGATTTTCATGACTTCGATTTTAATAGAAATTAAAATCACAATCTATTAGCTTAAGTCAAGTAAATTGGAGAATAATTCAAAAAACAATATTAGCTAACAAGAAGTATGATTTAAATGACTTGAACTTTAATAGAAATTAAAATCAAGGGCATTGAATAAAAGTAAATGACTGATTTTTTGCAGAGAGATTTTAAATTCCTTAAAGCTACAACACTATCCAAAGAAGCATGTAATAGCAGATAGCGAGTAGAAGTTACAAAAACTCCCACTGTCATTGAAGACCTAATGAGGATATTAGACAACATTTCTTTATTTCATGACTTGATAATGTAAGAGACCAACATCACTGCTGTCAACAGTGACATCAAATTTAATACAAAAGTCTTCGAGTCCTTTAATAGGAGCCTGATGCAAAGATATACTAGCTGCCTCCACATAATACACTAAACTTGTTATTTCTGCAACATGTAAAGTAAACATAAATTTGAGCGCATCCAACATTCAGATGTTACCTGTGTATTATGTTCGACGCAGTGAGCATTTGTCAACAGCTTCCCATCCCCGATCATGAACGCACTGCAAAGTAAATTAAAATTTTCATCAAGCAGCATATGAATGGAGTGACAAGAGAAAAGATTTCTGATGTGCTTTTAAACTCGAATTTAGAAGGAAAAGGAAATGACACTTTCTTGAAACAATGACATGCAGAAAAAGGTGGCTCGGACATGCCTGCCAGTACTTGTATACTGTCTTTGTTTCTGCCACGGAAGGGAATAGTCTGGCGCAGTGTGAGTACAGTAGACCTGGATGAAAGGATAAAAAAAAAAAAAAAAAAAAATACTGAGTCCAAAACCAGTAGGATTATGAGAGGATGATTCCCAAAACTTTTAGCACAATCTTTCTATAAGGCCATTTAGGACTTCAATAAAACTTTTGGTGGGCAAGATACATAGTACAGAAAAACCAGGCATTGACAATAATTGCATACAATACTTGTTAACTGATTATAACCATTTTCATGCTTTGAAAAATTAAATATGGATAAAATAAAATAGATATGAGCTTAGGTCATTCTAGATGTAGATAAGAAGCGAGATTTACGGAAATACTTGATAGCACAATTTAATCATTATAAGCTCGGCAAGTATTAAGGAAGGATGTAGAAAGAAAAATAAATCCACGTATGAGTAGAAGAGGAGAAAATTAAAGCTATATATATGAAAGGAGCAAAAACTAACTTCAACAATGATATAACTAGCATATTTCTAAATAATATACATTACCTTTACAACGGCGCTAAGGGAAGAAGCATTCTGAAGATTACTCGTCTCTACCTGCGAAGGATAACTGATTATGCTCAAGGAACTGAATCATTAGTAGACGACAGCAAAAAATGCCTCAGTAAATAGCTACCAAAGAACAACATAACTACAAATTATGAGAAAATATTCTGAATAAAATATTAAGCCTATTATTTTCATATATAGATAATCATAATAGCTTAGTATTGCCATCAAATTCATGAATAGTTGATCATACCGATTTCTATGCATCAAAACTTTCTTAATACAAGATGAAGTCTAATTATGCTAGGGACGCAAGAAATTGTTCTTATTGTTCAACTAAATATTTCATATCATCACTACATTATCATTTACAAGCAAGTTACAAAACAGAATTTACAACACTTTAAATTAGATATGACAGCAAAGCTGATTCTAAAGCAACATTCATCTCCATATCTTCATCTCAATCAAGAAATTAATTACCTAGAAAACATAAATAACAAATGCAGACTTTATTCAAAATAGTAGAGGGCTTTGGTTCCTGGAATCTATATACCTTTTGCTCCTTCGAGTCAACCACAACCCCCTGGTTCCCTTTCTTCTGTACACCAAGTGATTTGGAGGCTTTCGATAGGGTTCGTCCAGTTCTGTCACTAGCACTTCTACCATCGGCATTTGAAAAGGTGTTTTCATCTCTTGATCTCGATCGGAACCTCGGGGTGAACTCTTCATCCTGGATTCAGTTACAGGATATAAAGGACCTTCGTGTACATATATTACAGTAGTATTGGGGTTTGTTATACACTTATACTACACCGATGAACTTCACCCATATATATTCTACCATAAATGTGTATAGAAGAGTTCAAGCAAAAGAGTCGAACAGATTCGTAGAACACGATTCTTCCATACAATTATCTTTTTCTTCGACCAATATACTCCGCAATGTTTAACGTATTCTGAATTTACTCCTCATTCAAAAGGAATTAATATATTGAGCCAAATTAAACGAAATCCAAGGGTTTTATATACCTGAATGGCCGATTTGCACGGGGATTTCTTCGATTTTACTTTAATCGGAATTTGATTTTGGTCATCGGAGGGTTTACGAACACTAGACAAATAATTGAGTTTATGCGAAGTGGAGAACAGGCGGTAGGTGGTGGCGAAGGTGACGCCGGAGAACAAGCAGTTTGCGGCTGCGATTGCCATTTAAACTTCAGCAACGCAGAGAGAGCGCGAAGTAGGTATGCTGTTTTCCTTATCCTTTTGCAACGGTTAAAAAAAATATCTACTTCTTTTATCCCCACTGCCATTTGATGAGTAAAAAAGAACAGGTAATTATTTGAGATTTTTCTCACCTAATATTTACTTCTTACTTTCGGCCCATATACATTTTTTATTATTTTTATTTTTCTCTTATTTAGCCGTCTGATAAATAATAATTTGGAAAAAATACAAATTTAATCCCTCAAGTTTGCACTACCTTCACATTTGGTCCGTCATGTTCGCAAAAAACATATTTGGTCCCTCATGTTTCAAAAATTCAACACTTTTAATTATTTTCATCAATTTTCCGTTAGTAATAACGGAAACAAGCATGTGTCCGACACTGACTTAATTGACGGACTAACGTTAAATTGACGGAAATGACCAAAAGTGTTAAATTATTGAAACATGAGGGACCAAATGTATTTTTCGTGAACATGAGGGACCAAATGTACAATCAGTGCAAACTTGAGATGTAAACTGTAATTTTCCCATAATAATTTTTACTACAACTAAACTTTTAATCTCAATCATCCAATATATTAATTTCAGAATCTTGTTTGTTGCTTTGTAATCAGGTGAATTTAAGCTTGGACTCTTTATCAAAGAATAATTAATTTAAGAAAGATGTTATATATTCTCGCACTGAAATTTATAAAAAATCTATCTCTATTTTCTCTCAATTCTTCTCTCTGTGACAAAAATAAAATGAATTCAATATTTACGTACGACGATTCTCTTAAAACCAGACGTCTACTTCTAAATATTTTTTTAATTATTAACAATGTCGCTTTGGCTAATAACTCCCCAATACCTAACTTTTGGCTAGTATTTTTCATCCTTCCAATTTCTATCTAACTTCTATTGTTTCTAGTGTTGGAATACCTCACAAAGAGATAGCTGTGAGTTGGTGTGATGAAGTACATCCCCTTGCTCCGGTACATATAACATATGACATTTGTTTTTTTCATTTTTATAGTCGATTTTTTGGTCGTTCATCTATAGGAACAATTTATTTGCTCGCGGCTCGCAGGCTACAATACAGATTGTTAGGCTTGCATAACTGCTATTGAAGATGCATTGTTTGGAGGTAGAGTTATAAAATGAGTTGTTGTTCTATAGCTGTCTAACAAGTTAAGGAAATTTTGTTGAAGAAAAGCGTCGTGTGGCTAATTACCAAAAGGGCATATGAAAAACGGGCAAGCGTCCCGTGTTTCACCGATTGCCGGAGAATTGTTTGTCTTGGTGGGAGCTGGTGGAGCTGGAAGAGCAATTGCGTTTGCTGCCCGGAGCAGAGGGGCCCGAATTAAATTAGTAACCGAATTTGGAAGCTTAATTGTGATTAGGGCCTTAATTAATCATTCAATCTAAAGTCATAATTGGGAGGCTCCCATTGGTCTACTTTTCATCATCAATTAATAATAATAAAATATTAAAAAAAAAAACTGATATTTGTTTATGAGAGCTGATCCGGTGCGGGAAGGTTCAAACTCCGGATGGATGTGAAACCCCCATCCACCACCAGATTATGGCCGGTGATAAACTTGGCTTCATCCGACGCCAGAAAAACGGCGGCGTTTGCAACATCGGCCGGCTCACAAACAGCTCCGTCGAGCGTGCTCAAACCGTCCACCATCTCCACCAGCCTCACCGGATCCACTCCGGGGTAGTACTTTTTCAGCTCGTCGATCGCAAACGGCGTCGGAATCGCCATCGGAGATACGCAATTGATCCTGATCCCGTGCCTGCACATCTCCGACGAAGCGGATCTCACGGCCCCAATCACGGCGCTCTTCGAGACAGAGTATGTGTGCTGCGATAACCCCCCCACGATGCCGGTGACGCTCGCGGTGCAGAGGATAACTCCCCTCCGCCGGGGGATCATGACGCGGGCGGCGTGCTTGATCCCGGCGACGGTGCCGCGGAGATTGACGGCCATGATTCGATCGAAGGTGGACAAATCTAGGTCGACTATTGAAGGAGGCGTTTGGCAGG